CTCCAATTCGCCCAGTCCACTGATACTGATAATCGGGTGCAAGTAGCTTCGGTGTTGCATGCACAGTTTAGGTTGCTGCAATGAGCGAGTTTGGTTGCCTTTCCGGATGCTCCGTGGCTGCCCCACTTTGGGTATAGGGACCTGGACTTGGGGGTGTTAGTCGCTACGACTTTGGTTTTGTCCGTGCTCTCTCATCCTTCCCCTGCTGTTGTTTGTCATGCCTTCCCCACCCTACTGCCGTCTCCCAAACATCTGAGGGTTTCAGATTCGGGGTAGGGCTTAGATGGTGGTGAGACTCAAGCAGTTTTGGGGGCTTCCCCTTCGAAGCTCCAGAAACTTCGAGCAGTTTCGGGGGCTTCGGCGACGGAGGCATTGGAGCCTGTTCCTCCAGCCGGGGCTTTGGAGTCTGACCAGCAGACCCCCCTTTTCCAAGCTTTTCCGGTTGACTCTGCCCTTTCTTTAGGGGCTGAGGGTTTGGAGGAAGGCTTTGCCCCGAGTTCTGATGTGGAGGATCCCGAGACTAGGGAGGAGCTGACTTGGGGGGGCTTGGGTCCCGTTTGATCCCGCATGGTATTGGTACCCTTGGCGCGGGGCTTGTTGTTGTAGGGGGAGGGGTTTTCTTATCCTGCCTCCCTATATGAATTTGATATGAGTTCTGTCCCTCCCTGGGTTCGGTTCCGGGTTCCATTGGGTTCTTCGGTCCATTCCTTCCAGAGGTTTTCCACTTCCCGCATCCTGCCTAAAGAGGTTTGAGAGGCCATTGCGGTTTACCTCCTGCATGACCCTGATTTTGCCTTGATAATGGACCTTTCCTCCTTTGAATTCGGTTCTACTTTTCATCATTGGGTGCGTTACAAGGTACCAGAGTCATCCTGGTTAGCAGACTGTCTTTTCTTTTCTTTGAGGAAGTGGGACTAGTTCTGTCGGACTCGCACGCTTGATTGGCGGGAAACTTCTACGGTGGTTCAGGGTTTATCTGGGGGGGCGAGTTGGAGCACCTCAGTGTGTGCTTATTTGCCCTCTGTTCTTTCTAAGGATATTGGCCAGGTGCAACTTCATGTGCAGGTTCCCGTCCTTTCGGCATCCCTGGTAGCTGAAGATTTGCGTGCCCGGGGGCATTTGGCTTCAGCTTTGCTTTTCTTTTCCCTGCTTGAGCTGTCTTCGGACTAGCTTGAGGAGGATGTGGAGGTGCTGGGTACTGGCCCTGTGTCGTGCCTGGAGTTGGCGTGTCTGTTCTTTGCTTCTCGCTTCGCATGCCGGCAGGCTGTGCTTGCTCATTCTCTGGAATCTGCGTGGGCCCTGGCTCTTAGATGTTCATTGCTGTTTGCAGATTCTGCTGTTGTTCATGTGTTGCTTTGGGTCGCAGGTTGCAACCAGTTGTCTCAACTTCGCGTTGAGGTGCGAGTGGCGGCTACCTCCAAAGTAAGTCCCTCTTTTACTTTTCTGTAGTTAGGTAGCTCCAGGAAGCCGAGGGGTACTCCACAGAAAACCAGCATTGAATGTAATGAAAAGCCATTTTCTAGGTGAGTCCTGGAGGCTCCCCGGCAATCCTCCCTCCGGTTGGCGGTTTCATGTTTTTGACATTCAGCCTCGGAACTGAGGTTGGATAGCCGGCGCGGGGATCTGGAGCCTCCCCTTCGCCCTCCCGGGGTGGAGGGAGCTGCGCAGACAGACGGCGCGGGGGCAGTTGTGACGTCATGCTTGTTTGCTTATTTTCAGATTGGCGAGTTCTGCTTAGCAGTTCGACTTTCGGTAGCAATGTTTCACCTGTTGGGGTCTGTTTTGGGACACCTACCTTTCTGGGTGCCTAATCCAGTCGATGGTAGACATAGAATATTTCCAACCACAGGGTTGTTTCTATAAGCCATTGCTAGTTCTGCCTGTCTGAAGGGGCCAGGTTCTGGCTCGTGGCCTCCGATAGGCATTAGAACTATTCAAAGGACTGTTGCCACTGTCTAATACATGTATATCAGCCCAGTAAGCTCTGGGGAGCCTCTGTGACTCACCCAGAAAATGTTATTTCATCACATTCAACATTGTTTTTTATATGGTACTCATAATAATGATAACATTTAATCTAGCTTATGAAGATATGACACATGTATGATGGACACTAGAACTACAGATTGCTTATGAATCGGCTAGAGTAACACCAGTAATAATGCAGAGAAGGTTTTAGCTACAGTACTAAGGGAAGGGCAATGGTAATACAGTAATATTAGTAATGGAAAAATCACATTTTTGTTTATCAAGATTATGATACTTTTGTAGTTGTAATAATTATACGATGATAATAAAATTTTTAACTAAGTATTCCGATAGCGATGCTGATTCCACTAAGATGTCTTCTAGTCCAATGCATACAGTTATCGATTCTAATTCTGACTCTTAAAAAATATAGTTGGATACTTAGCTGTCTTAAAATATTTGCATTTTGGTTTTGAAAAAATTTATGATTTACGTTACGAGTATGGTAAATTGTTAATGATATAATAGATTGATTTAAGAATAGAATAATTGGTAAATCTAGCGTAATTTTCTGGAAGAAGCCTGAAAGAGGAAAACATTTCATTAATTATGCAGATATACTGTACATGCTTTAAGTGTGTACTATACAGTCAATTAAAAATTGTAATCTTATTTCAAATAAAGTTAATATTGCAACATTAGCTCAGTTAAAGCATAACTAATTCTTTTTTACTCAGAGTAATCCTTAATCTACAGACCTCAAGAAAATACTGAAAACATTTAATTACTCATCACAGGTGCTTATGTTGCATACAAGCTACAATACAATAGAATTTTTAATTATTTTTTCAAATAAAATTACATTCATTGAAATAGTAAAGTTAAACTTTTAGAATATAATACTTGATTGTTAATGATTATAATTTAAAGTTTGAATTATTAGCCAAAGCAAAAACTTTGTGTTAATAAATGTTAACAAATCATTTTTAGAATCAGAAATCACTAAATTTATCGTGATTCTGATATAAATTCTGATTACTGAAAATGTTTGATTCTTCTAATTCTTGATACCGATTCCAATTAATCATCCCATCACTAATTAATAATCTTGGTAATATTGATAGTAATGTGTTTAAAATGATGCAGTACAATATAGGGGATATAGGATTACATTTTTTATGTGTAGGTAATATATATGTTTTATGAAACACAAGTTGCCCTCATTCAAAATTATCTACAGCATATCATTTATGCATGTATTTTTTGTTTTTTTTAAACTGGTCAAATGTACAGCAGTGTCTTAAATTTGAGAGGCTGTTTGATAATCTGGGATACTTTATTTTCATGCATTTCTACTTAGACTGGTCAGGCTTTGAGAATATCACAAGAGATGATACTTGTATCTAATGTACTGTGTGATTTCTGCTGCAACCTTCTATAAAGCATTAGAGGTTATGATTAGTATTTGAATTTAGTTTTGAAGCTGTAGAATGCACAGGGGAATATAGGAAGTGCTTATAAGCTTGAACTGTAATTTGTTTAAGGATTATATAAGAATTCTGTAGTCCTGAGGCTAGCGTTTATGATCGTGACTGCTGATCTATGTCGAGTAGCAGTGTAATTACAGTACGAGTTGTAGCATCTCATTCACAGACACATTAGGCCTATCTGGGATATGAGGAGATGAACTTGTAAGATGTGAGACTTAATGTATTTTTGAGAGTATATTAATTAACAGTTTTAGATACTTATTTGTTTGGTGTTGGAACCATATTGCATATCAATGTTGCATTCAGTTTGCTATTTACGTGCTGATCTAGAAATTTTCCAATTGCTTTGCTCGCAGTTTAAGTATTGTATATTCTTTTTCTATCAGATTGGCAGGTTTGTTTCTAAATATTAAATAGTAAATTTCCAAATATTAATGTGTTAAGTGTTAGCATCTGCATAAAATATTTTTTGAGTTCAGCATTAGCTGTGTCATGTAGGATGTTTGGGTTAGTGTTTGAGAATACAGTGCAATGTAATTAGCAAATAGTATTGATTTCAGGTGTAGGGAGGCAGTCCATAGGTTATTAATGTTTTGATAAAGTCAAAGTTCTGTAGTAACATTATTTTGTACATACAGTATTGGTGTCTGTTACAAAGTAGTTATAGTATGCAGTCTAGCTGCTATCAACTTTGGAAAAAATTTTTCTCCATGATCTAACAATAGCTGTTCTACTACTCTAACCATAAGTAGAAGATACTTAGAATAATGCTGTATTGTTTTGGTGATTTGTGCCAGATGCTCGGGAATAGCCTGGTTTGATTACAATTGATTACACACAAAAACCATCGAGAGGGGCTTTGCTATCATTCACGTTGTCATTACTATGGATGCTGCTGTTCGTCGGATCTCGTGCATGTTGTATTCTGTCTTATCTGTGTTTTTTAATCTTTACAACCAGCTTCGGGGCTCCCTATATCCTAGTATAAATAACATTCCACTTTGATAGGGAACATGTCGAGGCAGCCCTGATGTAGATACTCTTGCTTTAATTAGGGATGACAGATTCCAAGACAGAAACTAAGGTCTCCAGTACATTTAAGCATTGCAGTGTTGGGCAATGTAAGTAATTTTCTCTGGACAAGGATTAACATTAAATATATGTGTAACTTTCTAGAAAATGTGCTAAAGAATGTTAATTCAGTCTACCAGAGATGAAATTATAAACACACACATTTCCTTCACATGTAAGCTGCTTTTTGACTTCATCTGGTTCAAGATTCATACTCTGGTAAAAAAAAAAAATTATAATTAGTATATGTTTACAGTACTGTATCTATCATTTGAATGACCATAAAAATGTATGTCTGGTAAATACAAATGTAAAGTTGCAGTTTTATGTCTCGAATAACTTTTATGCAATTGTTCAGTGCAAATAATGCCATTGGGTATAGAATTTTGTGGTAACATTTTCTGTTTATTATTATTTATGAGAATGAATTTTGTACTACTACTATTACTACTACTGAGATATTTCATGAAGGTCGTGAAGCAAAGGATGTCTGAAGCTTCAGGAGGGCCCCTTCCTTTCCACGAGAGAGCCATATTAGCAGGGTTTGCTGGAGCCTGTGGAGGCTTTGTAGGCACCCCTGGAGATATGATTAACGTCCGCATGCAAAATGATATCAAGCTTCCAGCAGACCAAAAACGAAAGTAAGAGCTTGTGTTCATGTATGTATAATACAGTACTGTATGTTAAATATTATATACATAATTGATGGTTCATTGATGAAATATTATATTTTTCTTTGGAAAGTGATAAATATATTTGTGTAGTGCATTATAAGCTTCACAGCTTCACTTTGACATCTACTGAATTATTGATAATCGTAGTTCGTTTTCTAATTATGGGATACATTTGGGTAACTATGAAGATGGTACATAATGAAACTGTTGTTGATGCAAATGTTACAAATGTATTGATCTTATTAAGATGCTATACTGTTTAAGTAATATATATTTTGCCTTCTTAAGAAAAAACATTAATTTTGTTAACATGTCAAGGTTATAAAAATGTTTACATAAACTTGAGACAATAATAATATTTGACATAGGTAATGGTAATGTCTTCTCACAGACATAATAACATGGGATAAAAACCCACACTTATGTACAGTATTTGTAAAATCTATGTAAAGATTTACACTAAGTCTTCCGCACTCTTTGTCAAGGTCCGAGTATGTAAGACGAGACTTACATCTTGACGATTAATCAGATTAGTAGTTGAGCTGTAAGTCTCATCCTAACCACGTACTTAGACCTTGACAAAGCACTCAGAAGAATGTAAAAGACTTGGTGTAAATCTTTACATAAATTTTACAAATACTGTACATAAGTGTGGGTTTATCCAATATTTGACTTAATATTTGTTAGTGGGATGAGAGTGGTTAAGCTAAATTGGTTGGCACATAGATGTTTCCTAAAAATAATGTTTCCAGTTTGCCAATGTGTTTATCCAGCTTTTCTCTTCTGATGCTTATAAATCATTTGTTTTCATAATCCAGTGTAGATTCCATTTGTTGCTTATCAAAGTATACATTTTACAAAGATGCTAGCATAAGTAGACTCTTAGTGCCTGTCTCACTAAGGCTAAGAATTATGATAATTCTTTTATATGCCTAAATTTTTATTCCTCGCATTCATTCGGTATTTAGTACCATATCATAAAATAATTAAAGTCTACATAGTATTGACAATACAAAAAATTGAATCATGAATTGTTAGTAGCAAATCATTTTACTCTGCAATACTGCAGTGTATTACAGTATATAATCTCTACTGTTTCTGAGCTCTTCCACTTGAATGGCTTTAAGGCATTTCTGAAAGGATGGGAGGGAGGGAGTTTTGCACATGGGCAGATTGACTGTGTGGTCGGCACAGGATGAAGCTGCAAATGAGGTATACTAGTCATTGTGCCATGCTGCTCATGAGCCTCTTCACCTACACCACTATGCCATTTTTTTTGTTACATTCTTGCATCCTGGCATCTCCAAAACATCCTGCAAGTACTCGTGTACTCCTAAGATACACTTAAAATGAATCTAAAGGAAATGTTGACTTTAGAAACAAAACTTTAAAAATCCTGTATTATACAAGTCTTGAGAGTGGGTTTCCCACCTACTATTGTTTCTGCTCATAATGTGAAAGAGTAAAACATTCATGCACACGATTCATGGAATAAGGGAGTTAGATCAGGGCAGTATGGAGCTGTATGAGATGATCTTGGAGATTATATCTAACAAGTTTATTATAGCTAACAAGGTGACCCAAGCAACACTTAAAAAGTATCCAAATCAGGAATGGAGTGCAGTCTTCAAGGTCTATAGAATCTATCATAAAGAAGATCTTGAAGGAGACACAGGACTAATGTACAAACTGTTTAGAAAAACCTACTGGCCTAATGTTGCTCAGTACTGTCACCACCAAACACGAAGCTTTAACAAACTCAGTCTTTTTACTGTTTACTGAATCTTCACTCAATAAAGCTCCCAATTTTCACTCGATAAAACATCTACCGGGACATTTTTATTAAATACTCCAGCCACTTAAATTTACATGTCCAACCTCAAGTACAGTTTGTAATTAAGCACAGTATACCTAGGAGGGTCTATAGTGCAAAATTGTAATAGCATTTATAAAAAGTTAGCTATGAGGTACGAGGCATGATATGTGGTTTTTGTGCACCAAGACTTTTTTTTGCTGCTTGGCACCGACTTGCGCACAGTCTTCTCAAGCACCGACTCATGTACATTCTTGACTGTTTTCAAGCAGTTAAATTACATTTTTGTTTTTTAAATTTTATTAGCATAAGTCTGAATTTGTGTTCTCTGTACTCATGAAGAGCTAGGGTTTGCTGTACTGTACTGTATTAGTTGAAAGGAAATTGTGAAAGTGCTTAGGAATATATTTTATTGAGATACAAGAGCAGAATACCCAGACTTCAGGAGGTCTGCGGAATGCATGCCTGTGTTTCCAATACATTATAACTAAGATTGATTTGCTTGCTTTATATAAGCATTGTTTTCCAGGACTACATCCCCTGCACAAATCAATAGCTTGTAAAGTATTTATGGCAAAACTATAAAATTATCCAATGTTTTCTCCTGCAAATAAGGATGTCTGTATTTAAAAACAAAAATTTAATGTCTATAGTTAGACAAACATTCCATCTGCCAAAAGTCCTTAGTAATCAGTAGTTCATGTTTCTCATTTTGAGGTTGGCATTGATATCCATGAAAAATTCTTACCATTCCTTGAACTTATCCATGTTTCTGTTAATGAATTAGTGCATTGGTATATTAATGTTAATTAATCTCTTTCACTTTTCTTTTATTTTTCTCTTATTTTGCAGCTATAAGCATGCTTTGGATGGTCTTGTTCGAGTTGTGAGGGAAGAAGGAATTCCTCGTTTGTTCCGCGGTGCATCAACAGCAACCTTCAGAGCTGTTCTGATGACTATAGGGCAGCTGTCCTTCTATGACCAAATCAAAGGATTCTTGTTGTCAACACCGTACTTCACCGACAATCTTACTTGTCATTTTACTTGTTCTTTGGCTGCGGTAAGAGTTTTGAAAATTATTCAGATTAAGTATAATTGCTGTAGATATCTTGCTGTAGATATGGGAAATTTACCTGACAGCCTCCATCTTTAAAGGCTTTGTCAGTGATTGGAAACTGGTGGTTTGGAAATGTTTTGTATTTTAAAAATGAGCTTGATTTTGATTTTGGTTAGGTTGCTTTATATAGATGTTCTATCCAAACCACTCTTTAGTTATTAGTGTTTTAATTTTTAGGTTAAATTGCTTTCATATCCTTTTTCAATATCATGAGGTTGCAGTTTAATGTTTATATTGTACAGTATTTATAATTTAGTTTTACATTGGCCATTACAGTAGTCTAAAAAATCCAGACCCCAATACAACAGAAACCTGAATCATTCATAGTGATTTGGATTGCAGAACAATAATTTAAAACTTGGAACAGTGATCCAAAGTTTCAGATCTGTATAGCAAGACTGACTCAACATCAGAGTTCTATGCACTTATATTATCCGGGCTGGCTCCTCAGTAACTTCCCATTGCATTAGGCTTTGGTACCACAGAGACACCCTCTGCTACCAGGCCTACCAAACACCAGGAACAGAATCTGGTGTGTGTATAGAAGCAAGGGGATCAGAGTTTAACAGGAACAAAATTACTTTACATTTAAGAACAGTCAAAAGCAAAACAAACCACTAACTTTGATTAGTTAGAGTAACAAAAGAAAACAAAGGAAACAGTAGAGTAGTGAAGGTAATCAATCATCACGTCAATACCGTGTGCTATCAAGTGACACCTCAGGTCACCTGGTAGTCCAAATAGCCAACACCTTCACTAACATGCCTTGTTCTATATAATTGGTGTACCATCCACTGGAATATTGTTGTCCAACATGGAATTGTGGGTCAGGCACATAGGAAAGCAAGGAAGCCATAACAATCCACTTGAACATGTAGCGCTGATAAATCATTCCCCTCCCCTCCTGGGGGTGATGACTACTAGCCACCAACCTACATTCTTTCAAGCATCTGCAGGTGTTAATGGGCTTATATTGTCTGGTGGGTATTTTCTTTGTTTTGGATTTATCTGATCCATAAACTTCACAGAGAGTCTTGACTCCCATTAGGTTCGAGTAAGTCTCGTGTCTTATGCGATTCCTTAAAGCTCGACCGCCCCAATGCCATAGCTCAGATAACCACCGAGGAGGCCCTCCCAGTCAGGGCCAACAACATACATGAAATAGAATCTTCAATGATGAAAACAAGTTTGCAGTACATATGTCACGATCCAACCCTGCTGACAAAACCAGGACGGCAATCGTGGAGTACTGAATGTGATCTCACTAAGAGTAGTAATGTGTTAGGTTAGGTTAGGTTAAGCTAAGTTGTTTTTGGTCAGGTAAGGTTAGGTACGTTTTAAAATCCATTGGCAAATCATTGTATAATGAGACTCATCCGTTTAACATGCTGAGATAGACCAGGCAGCCCAGCTGGGAATTCGTGTGAATCCACATTGGGTGGTTATCTGTGAATGTAAGCAAGGTTTCAACTTCAGTAGAAAAATCTTCTGATAGTCATTTTCAATCAAAATTTTTATAAAACATTGCTATATATTGCTGTGGATAACTGCAAGATCCATGTCCAAGGATCCAAAAGTTTTGAATATTTGAAAGTTTAAAAAAGGGTCTGGTTTATCGAGGTTCCACTGTACTGTATTAATTTTCCCATATCATTTAATAGCTAATTGTTTATAAAATAATAAATTTTCTAGGGTGCGATTGCAACAACTATGACACAGCCTGTAGATGTGGTCAAGACACGTGCCATGAATGCTAGACCAGGAGAATTCAGGGTAAGTTTTTATTAAAGTTTAATTTCTGAGTAAAAACCCCTCATTTTAATTGTAGGGGACCCTGAGCCAGAGCCTACATGGTCTCCCTCCCCCCAGGACTCATATTGCCTGTCAAACTCATGTCAACATTGTTCCTGCCACCTTGACAAGGAACATTTCCAGTGATCTTACATGTATTACATAATTAAGGGAAGGGAGACAGTGATGAGTCTGTCCTAGGTTATCACCAGACAACAAGCTCACAATAACACAAAAGAGGAATCTATACCCTCTATAGCCCCTGCAGATGGTGACAATTATTAATGCATTGAAAACCAAGTATCGCTCATCTAACTGTACTTATTAGTAATCAAAAGTTTCCCTGGGTGCTGCAACCAGTTGGCAGCACCCATCACCACAACAGGGTTGGTGGAGCCTGAAACCTTCAAGCTCCACCAACTTGTTTGATGCAGGGTCATTTTCACGACCATCATATGAGCAACAAGTGTTGGATGTGGACATTGATGTGCTGGAGCAAACTTCTCCTATTGGTGCTGGTAATGGTGAGGCTTGGTTGCAAACTCATACATTTCAAATTTAATTGCAAGCAGTCTCTTCTGTTGAGTGGTATGTGCATTCAGATGCTTCTTCCCTGCCCTCATTCTAGAGTGATGTTGAGGAGTTCTAAACAATGTATTTGTTACTCATTTTGAGGCTTCCAAAGGGACAACTCAAGCCCCTTATTTTAGCGATCTCTTGGACCTTCTTGGGTAATTGCAGAATTCAGCTTTCCAGCCATCTCTGCTTTTTGCTATGTCCAAATGTTCTCTGCTTGAGACAATAAAAGCCTTATAGTCTGGTTTGGTTGGTGCATTGTGGACTGCTCCTTAGGTTTTGGCCAAAAGTCATACATGTTCCAATACTTTCAGACCGTTCTGGATATGTATGAGGAGATCCTATTTTCACTCATTGGATGGAATGGAGACCCTGTTGGAAGATCCTCTAGTTCCCCTGACATAAATTGAAATGTGAATGCGATCCAGTTCTCATTCCTCTGAGAAAGAGAACCGGATAATTCCGGTTGTTCTTCCTCTGAGGAGGTGATAGGTGTCCAATTGGAGATGGTTTGTGTGGAGACATAGTGGATTCCCTTTGACTCTTTGTTGAATTTAGTAACCAGGCTTGGAGAACCTCTTTTTGTGGGTGGGGAATGTCTCTATACCCCTTCCCAGTTTCTGTGCAATGTCTTTTCAGTTCCACCTCAGGTTCATTTCATTATGCCAGTAAAGAATGTGAGTATTCTGATCCTTCACGGTCCCCAAGATCCCATCTCTCTTCTCTTACAGCTTGGCTGAACTAACTGTTAATGCTGGTGTGAGGCTGATCCCACACATTTGAATTTGACCATTTCCTTTAGTTTACTTTTTCTGTCACTACCCGAGTGCGGTACCAGATCTCTGTGTCTTCTTGGCTGCAGGCAGGCAATCTGGTATGTTTGGTGTGGAAACAACAATCATTCTGCCAGTATTTAGACTTGGACCAGAATAGTATGTTACCTTAAGTGTGGCTTAAGAATAAGAAATGCAACTGGATTGAAGATAATAGTTAAATTTTATATGAAATGTTAGGGAAAGAAAATAAAAAAATAATAAGAATTTAATGTAAGGATGTAAAAGGTGAAATGTATGGTATGGTGTAAAATGTGAAATAATTAGTATAATGTAATTGGTGGAATAATTGGTAGGGTGTAAAAGATTGAATATTTGGTTATAGGGTTAAAAAGATTTTATGATTGTGCGTTGAAGGAATAAAACACTAATCCTTCATTTAATATAAGGTAAAAGTGGGATTATAGTTATAAGGTTGTCCTTTGGATATAAACACATTAGTTTTTCACAGGTTGTAATTAATGTTGTATGTATTTTTCTATCTTTTTAGGGTCTGTGGCATATTATCACATATACTGCAAAATTGGGTCCACTTGGATTTTTCAAGGTAAGTTTGATTTTATTATGACATACCAAATTTAATCAACATCATTTGCCAATTGTGATGTTACCATCTTTACTGTAATCATGGCGAACCATCATAGGCATGTATGGCACCTAAAGCAGAGTATATTAAACATTACTTAAGAAAGTGTACCCTGTTCTCTCTCTTGTTTGAGTTGCCATCTTATACCTGATATGCTTTGTTAATTTTCCAAATATTGTTATATCGCTAAAATCTTAAAGAATGTTGCATCTGTCAGTGATCTTAGAATTACAGAATGTTTTGTATTAACTTAACACAGGAAACTTAAATGTAATCCATTATTATAATGTATATTTTCCTTGCAGGGATATGTTCCGGCATTTGTTCGCCTAGGACCCCACACTATCATAACATTTATTCTTTTTGAACAGCTACGTAAAAATTTTGGAATTCTTAAAATGCCAGCTTAATAAAAGTGGCTGTAATTAGGTACATGTTTTGGAATGCATTTCTTTCTCAAGAATTTCCAGTCTTAATAGTACTGTATTGTATATAGAATTCTACTTAGTTACGTAAATGTTGTGCAATTTTACCTTATGTTCAAGAGAAATTTATTCTAATCAGCTAGTAAATGCAGTACCTCACTAGTGCTTCCAGATAATGTGACAAATCAATAAATTGAGAGTTTTCTTTTTGATTCCAAGTCGGCAATGACTATCAGTAACCAACCAAAGAACAAGAGATTCATGTTAGTTCTGGTTGAAACTTCACAAATGTTTTGTGGCAGAGGCTAGATGTTGAGCCATTTATCTGTCATGTTCTCAAATCTGACTTGGATTTATAAAGTATAGTACAAAACATTAAAAAAAATGTTTTGCTTTGTTATAAAATTTTATGAGTATTTCTAATAATGTTCTTGAGGTTTATTGAGGAGGAGAGGAGTTTAAGTTATTAAACTTTTTCCTCACTTTCATCGTATTTCTAATATTGTATTGTTTATTTTTATTTTATTTTTTTTGAAAGATTCCCTTAGTAACTTACTGTTCCTTACACACTGGTACCACTAAGCACAATGATCATGCATGCCTTTTGAGACCCACATTGAACTACTGGCAGTCAGGACCAGAATCTGGCATTTTATTCAAAGTGAAGGGAAAATGAGAAATCTACCCAAACTGAGAACATCCAGATAGTTAAAACAAAACAAACAACTGCTGTAGGCATGAGTTAGCTTTCTTGTTTGATTTCCACTTGTTCTCATCCCTAGTGTCCTTTGATGTTCCATCCAGCCGGTTAGTTTTACCGGTTGTCAGCTTCCTTCTGTCAGTCAAGGTTTTTTAATTTGTGTGTAATTACCTAAGTGTAGTTACAGGATGAGAGCTACACTCGTGGTGTCCCGTCTTCCCAGTACTCTTTGTCAAATAACACTTTGAAACTACTAATGTTTTGGCCTCCACCACCTTGAGTACTGCTCAGTACTCACTTCCCCCTTCAGAGCAGGAGAGATTGCTGAAATAGAGGGAATACAGAGAACATATACGGCACGCATAGACGCGATAAAGCACCTAAAGGGATCGTCTCAAAGCCCTCCAAATGTACTCACTAGAAAGAAGACGAGAGAGATATCAAATAATATACACCTGGAAGATACTGGAGGGCCAAGTACCAAATCTACACAGTAAAATAAAAAAAAATCAAATCAAAATGTTTATTTAGGTAAGGTACATACATAAGAGATTTTACAAAGAGTGATGGATTTATAGTTAGGGCTAGTACATACAATGCCAAAAGCCACTATTACGCAAAATAACAATGTACTGGAGTGAACGATATGAAAGAAAATGCAGAATAGAACCAGTGAAGAGCAGGGGTGCCATAGGCACAATCAGAGAACACTGTATAAACATCAGAGGTCCGCGGTTGTTCAACACCCTCCCAGCAAGCATAAGAAATATTGCCGGAACAACCGTGGACATCTTCAAGAGGAAACTAGATTTATTCCTCCAAGGAGTGCCGGACCAACTGGGCTGTGGTGGGTATGTGGGCCTGCGGGCCGCTCCAAGCAACAGCCTAGTGGACCAAACACTCACAAGTCAAGCCTGGCCTCGGGCCGGGCTTGGGGAGTAGAAGAACTCCCAGAACCCCATCAACCAGGTATCAACCTCATTTAGTGTATTCCAACTGTCTACCACTGTTTGCAAAAGAAATCTTTCTAATATTTTTTCGGCACCCTTGTTTCCTTAGCTTGAATCCGAATCCTCTTGTTTGTGAAGTTGATGGTTTCAGGAATTTCTCTTTGTCAATTTGGTGATTCCTGTAAGTATTTTGTAAGTGATGATCATATCACCTCTTTTTCTTCTATCTTCTAGTTTTGGCATGTTTAATGCCTCTAGTCTCACCTTGTAACTCGTGTTTCTTGGTTCCGGAAACCATTTTGGAGCATGCCATTGCACCTTTTTCAGTTTCCTTATGTGCTTCTTGAGATTTGGGCACCATACAACTGCTGCATATTCCAATTTTGATCTCACAAAATTCATGAATAGTTTCTTTAGTATTTCACCATTCATATAATTAAATGTGTGTGTGGTGGTTATGTTCTCTTGTTTGTTTCTGTTTTCTGGAATTCCTGCAACGCTTTGTTAGGTTGCACTCCTTGGGTGTTTCCTCTGCCGTTTCACCCTCCATCTCTTGTTCCAGAGTCTAAGGTATGGTTGTTCTGGCTCTTAGTGCTTTGTCCCATTAACCTTTCGACTATCCATCTGCATTTTCATAGTTTGGGCAGTTTGGTACTTTTGCAGCATTTTTTTTATATACTTTTTTTTATCCATGGCTGTTGTTGAAGCTCTGGATTTTTTATGGTTCAACTGTGTGTTGGTTTCTTGCTCCTTATTTGGTATCCACACCTCAATGCCTTTATGCTGCACTTGGACGTCTGGTGCACCACTACTGCTCCTCTGCCCCTAGTCCTATATATTTGCTGTTCTCTCCCACAGGTAAGCCCTTCTCCAACATTTCTAGTTCAGCTGTTCATATGTTCCCTTTCAGCCTAGTCATACTTATATCAAGTCTCTGTTAGGAGTAATCACCAAACAGCTACTAAGAGGACTTTTCCATAAATCAAACATCGACTTTAATCACGTGTTTATTTTTCGTGATTTACACACATCGACTTTAATGAAATGACCTTTTCTGGTAGGCCCTCAGTAGTACCATGTTCTCACCCTGTCTTTTCCTATGTTCTCCGTAGGGATTTTTGTGGTTAAATATTGGCAGCTCATGATGGAGGTAGATGACAGACCAGGACCCTGGATACCCTGAATCACTATCTGTTGGCAGCTGAGCGAGTTAGGGCTGGAGTTGCTCACCCACGGAAATTGTTTGTCTTGTTTTTATCTTTTTATTTCTTGTTTTCACGTGGTGGTTTGATTTATTTTGTAGGAGTATCTGATCAGCTTTCCTCAGTTTTAGGTAGATCACCGATTCCCAAGCTTCTCTTACCTTGTAGAAAGAACCAGATACTGGTTCCAGAACCAGATAACCAGCCAGGTCCTGGCTCCTGGTCAGAGGCCTGGTTTAGGTTTAGCAGTACCAGCTTATAAACAATAGGGAACTACTGAAGGCGTACCAGTAAAAGGCATTTCATTGTATTCTATACTTTACTTTTGGGACTGTGAGGAAAGAGAAAAGTGTGTGTGTGTAATTAACTGTTTTTATGAGCATATGCTTATGAGTATATACATGTCTGTGTCATATGTACAGTTGTGAGTTTGTGTTCACTCACATGTATATTGTTTTTCAAATGCTTGTATTCCTTAGAGAAAAATTTGTGCTATTGATAACACGAGCTGATTATTACCATAAGTGTTTTGGTTTCATAAGAAATATATATATATATATATATATATATATATATATATATATATATATATATATATATATATATATATATATATATACATATATATACATATATATACATATATATATATACAGTATATAGATATAGATATATAGATAACTTACACCTATAGCCATAAAAGGCCAATGAACAGATACAAGATATATTTCACAAGTGATTTTTATTACATATAAATTTTGTGAAGTGGTGTGTGTGTGTGTATATGATGTGTGTGTGTGTAATATATATAATATATATATGTCGTACCTAGTAGCCAGAACTCACTTCTCAGCCTACTATTCAAGGCCCGATTTGCCTAATAAGCCAAGTTTTCATGAATTAATTGTTTTTCAACTACCTAACCTACCTAACCTAACCTAACTTTTTAGGCTACCTAACCTAACCTAACCTATAAAGATAGGTTAGGTTAGGTTAGGTAGGGTTGGTTAGGTTCGGTCATATATCTACGTTAATTTTAACTCCAATAAAAAAAAATTGACCTCATACATAATGAAATGGGTAGCTTTATCATTTCATAAGAAAAAAATTTGAGAAAATATATTAATTCTGGAAAACTTGGCTTATTAGGCAAATCGGGCCTTGCATAGTAGGCTGAGAAGTGCATTCTGGCTACTAGGTACGACATATATATATATATATATATATATATATTATATACTGTATATATATATATATATATATATATATATATATATATATATATATATATATATATATATATATATATATATATATATATATATATAATAAATAATACAAATTGAAAGATAACCCAGAGCAATACAAAGTTAATGGCATAAAAAAATATCTTGTGGCTGATTTGTCATTTAAAATTGCCTAAATGTTTAGACAGAAAAATATAGATTCATATACTGTAGCAAGATTTGTAGTTTATGGTGTATATAGTTTCAGAAAATGTATTTGTGATGTCATTAGGAACATGTTCAACAGAGGCACATTTAGAGTTAAGTCTCCTGTATTTTCCTAGAGAATTTATCCCCCAAAATTACTTAACATACCAAATTCTTCAAGAAGTGCTCTGTTGTACTCTTCTGAGAAGAAAACATCTTACGGTAATGGTGTTATATTTTGTATTTTTGCTTGTGATTTCCCAGGTTTTGTTTATTTCTTTGTATGAATTAAGTTCATGTTACATTGGTTTTATCTGTTTCAAATTAAAATCAATTTAATTCCCAAATGTTGGCAAAAGCTAGTAAGAATGCAATAATTGAAATGAAGTTGAGAAATAAAGGCAAGTGCTAAACCTATGCATGGATAAAAGCAATTCTAGCTTTTCACAATCTAAATTACTGAGGTGCCAGTTTGTGTGTGTGCTGGGAAGAAACTCATTTTAGTGTATCCTCAGTGAATTTGATTCTCTTGACATTGATCATCTTATATCTTTACCTTTTCTTATGGGCATCCTAAATGATATATAGGAACTCTTGATTATACTGTGATGCAGATAGTGCTGCATAGCCATATTGGCTGACTGATTATTTGTTAATAGTTATATACTTCTTTTAAGTATATGGGTTGTTGATTGAATATAAGTATTAGTTTCAAGGGATGTGAACACAGAGTTTTGGGTGTTAATTTCTGCAGGTGTAAGATGACAGGGTAGATAGGTATGTTAATTGGTTCAGGTGTTAGATGAAGGGGTAGGCATGATAATTTGTGCAGGTGTAAGATGAAGGGATAGGTATGTTAATTATTGCAGGTGTGGGATAAAAGGATAGGCTTGTAAACTGTTGCAGGTGTGCGAGATGAAGGAATGAGTATGTTAGTTGGTGAAGGGAAGGGAACTATCAGGCGAAAGCTCCAAGCCATTATGACTTTATAATACAGTACTTGGAATGAGACGGGGAGAAGGAATGATGCCCAACCACTTGGACAGTCGGGGATTTAACGCCGACATGCATGAAGTGAGACTGTCATTTGACTGTTGTAGTGTGCGAGGCAGAATTGATATTAATGTGTAACATATAAGCAATGTCTTAACTTTGTACTAGTATTGCATGAATATAAATGCATACTATAAATGTTAGCATGTGAAGCAGTAGTACAATATTTGTGTATTATATGTTACAACTGGAAATGAGGGTTTTGTGATTCTGTAACTGATAACCTTTGACTTCCTCACCGAGTTACTGAAGAAAGATGTAACCATGGTACTTCACAGCTTGTGATCTAATTCATACTATGTGTGTGTGTATAATATTTTTATAACAGAGAAGTCGGGAAAAATAAGATAAAGCTTAACCATTAGATGTTACAATGAACATAAGAGTTAACTCAAGATTGATTAATATATTATATCCTAAGTATGATTATATATCAGTTATTTATGTGCTTACAGACTTGTTGCTAAGGGTGATGGTGGTTAGTGTGTCTTCTGCACGAGGGCATCACTGGCTCGCTCTTGTCCGTCATGATGAAAGC